TTTTCCACATGTCATTAGTGTGCTTTTTGCGCGCCCAACTTCTGAGCTTTTGTTAACGCTGGAGTGCCGATTAGTAATTAGTTTTTATCCAAATGTCTTTATAATTTGTATTATAATCTGTTTGTCAGTGTACGGCCAAAGTTTTCGACAATTGGGTTAATTTTTTTTTTGAATAAATTATTATTATCCGGGAAATTTTATAGTAATAGTAGTTTGATCGCAACCTTATTGCTTTTTTATGAGCTAATTATGAGTTTGATAATATTATTGCGGCCTTGATAACAATAGCGGATATAACAACAAAAAATAGGTAAAATAAAATAGAACGGACGCTAATTTATATAGATAAATGATATACGTGTTTGTTTACATAAAAGTTATCGCGTTTTAAATTGCGCTTACGTTAGAAGCAATTTGTTTTTCTTTGCAATCCACTGTAGCCATAGAATCATTTTTATTTTAGTATTGGTACTCTAAATTTTGCAACTTATAGGCACAAATGCTTATCTCATGGTTGCTGATAAATAATATTCAAAAATTTACGCGTTATGACAGCGAGTTAAGAAAATAGGAGTCTTATTATAGGCGTTTCAACAGCTCGATGCTCCGATCAAGTTTGAAGCTTGATGCCATAAATAGGTGGAGGCGTCTGGGAGCAGCAATTTGATTCCTTTACTGAATTAAATTAAAAATTGTTTATTTGCACATAAACTTAACTCTGACATCACATGATTGACGAAAATATTATAATATACCACAATGTACAGTATTACACGCGTCGAAATTTCGATCAAAATTTGTTGAGATTTATGGCCTCTGTTATTATAAATACAATAAAAAGCTGTTAAAAGTCTATATATAATTTAATTATTCTTAAACTTATTAAACCGTATATAGCTAAATTACGAAAATTGGGTGTGGTGAAAAACATTTTTTCGCAAATTTATTTTATTATTATGCCATACACAGTCGTCTTTCTCAACAGTCACACAGTCGGATTTAGTGACCGCAAAGAAGATGTGACTGTAGAAAACGCCTTTTACACAATGTCAGTATTATTAGGGCGTGCTTATTAAAAGATTATTGTAGATTCTACCATACGGCTTTCTAATGACTTTGATGCTTGGTTTATTCATTCATTAAGAAAATACGATTTACTACAAATGTCATATGGGAACAGACTGGGTATATCTTTGATAAGTTCAGTAAGAATTATTATTCTTGTTACTGCGCGCTGAACCAGTCATAACTTTTCTAGCTAAAATTTGATATCATGGCGCCTGACGACATTCGCATTTTTTGACCAATCTATCCTTCTTGGATAAAGCTGCAATGCGGCCTGCAACTCGAAAAACAGCATGGAATACCGCACTTACAGTAAACTGGTATGTATTATTATTTAAATAAATACAAATCTCGTGCCGTTTGATCTAGACATTTTACGCATTCTCATTCTATTTATCATGTGACGTGAGTCATTTTTTTTGTAGAAATCGGTCGGTAAGTGTGACTGTAACCTATAGAACTCGCCCATATAGCATAGCCAATTACAAGCTTAAACAATGATCATCACATTATACTCGAATCTAGTTCATAAATTACTGTATTGGTACATTTATTTGCGATAGTACATATAATGAACACTTTCTTGATAATGAACAAAAGATACACCCTCGCCCAGCAAGAGACAAATCCAAAAACAATTATTTAGCTTCGGCTACAAGAGTAGATACGAAGCAGAAAATGATTAAAAGAGCAATTGAATACAGTTATTAAAGGACAATTAACTAACAGCCTTTCCACGTGACCGGAACACGACCAACGGCCTCATCAGCAATTTTCTAGAAAAAAAAAAGATAACGCAAGTTGTGAGAAAATAATAGTATCGACATAGTATCATAAGCATTAATAGAGCTCTTGAACTTACATCAAATGCAGCAGGGGATAGGTCAATATCACCGTTTTTACATACAGGGCACTTAACATACGAATGTAAATGTTGTTGCCAATCAATATCTCATCAATATAAACCTTATACTACGATCAGTGCTAACATACCTTGTCTACTATTTTTACTTTAACAGTCCCCTTAGGTCCAGTGACCTGAACACATTTACCGCAGACTGGTGAGTCGTTCGGATTAGCATAGTTACCGTATTGGGGAGCATTCTAAAGAGCACATGTTAAGTTTTTTAACTACGAAATACCAGCCCGTGAGTTACATTTTTATAATACAAATACATACCAAAGCGGCTACCATCTCGTCAGCCGTATGCAAAGTCCCGCACGAACCCGTGCCAATTCCGGGATCTAGAATGAGTTACATCATCGTCAGCACAACAATCGCCAAACAAATATCACCTTACTACCAACTCGTTATTTGCCCATCTCTGTCAATTGACTAGTAACATGCAAACCTTTCATGACAACTCACCATAATAAGTACCGTCCCCAGAACCAGTCAGGTCTAATCCACCGGTTCCCACATCGCCATCTCCCCCTTTTCCACTACTGTTGGCTCCTTTGTTTTCGTGATCTTTTGCAAACGATCCTGCAGCAGCACAAATAATGATCACGAAAAGACCAAGCAAAAACAATCCAAGACCAACATACAAAGCATGACGATATATGTATACTTTTGGACACTTCTTGGCGAACCATGCATCGAATTTTCTGTAAAACTTGTTGCTGCCTTTTCCAAGGATTATGGGTGGAGGAAGATTAGGAAGTGCTTTGTCGGCCGGGGAGACGGAACTGCGTCGATTCCAACGTTTGTATTTTTGTAGACTGCGAGGTACGGATGGTCGTGGTGGTAATTCTGGAGGCGGTATCAAAACATTATCATCCTTTTCATCGGAGGTGTTCTTCTGAGAACCATCACCATTGATGAATGTCATCGACATTCGAAACAAAGACGTTCTCTTTTTCTTTTTCACTGTTGAATCATCAGTCCTCTTGTCTCTACTTTTCGACTTGGCTGGTGAATTATAAAAGTCGGCGGCTGTCTTTGTTTCACGTGGGGGAAGAGCTGGCCGTGAGGCTGTAGAAGGTTGCTGGTCATTTTCTTCAATTACGGTTCGTAGTTCTTGTGTACGCGGGGGAAGAGGTGGCTTAGACTTTAGAAGGGAGGGGTGTCTTTTTATACGTCCACCGGTGTATATATCCGAAATTGGCCGGACAGGAGTGGACATTCTGTCAGTATAAGACGAGATTGGAGAGAGTTGTTTGTCCGAAGAGAGTAAAATAAAGAATGTAGTGTGTATTTGAATGTCGATATAATAGGGAATTCGATTATGAATGGAGATGCGAAGTGTAGTGGTGTATTAGTATATATATACTGTATTATACGGTGTTAATGCTTATGGAGGTTGTCGTTTCAATTAGGCTTATAACCAACAATTTAATATGAGATCTAGTGAATTCAAAGGAGTGAACCTCCGCAGCCTAACAGCATAGCACACATTCTTCCCCTCACGTACAGAGGATAATACAGAATAAAGAGTGCAAATTCAATTGACTCGTTCTAAACGTTTGCGGTTTTTGTTTGTAGTGTCTAATTATTTGTGTTACATGACTATTACTAATTTGGAAAGCGATCATAAAACGTGATTTAATATTAATTTGGGGCGAGTTCATGATATTATAACACGTTTATATTTGTCCTGGCCTAAGCCCGATTCGCAATAGGCATATTGTCTCAGTAAGCGATCAGTAGAATTGTCAATCGAATTACCTAATTATAATAATCGCCGATACTAATTGAAACATGATTATTATATAAAGAATATTTATTCGCAAATAATGTCCATGCATTTCAGCAACTTGGTTCCACCGCAGCATTAGACTGAGGCCAATAAACTGTTAACTTACCCTCAAAGGTTGTTTCTGAACTATGTCAACCGAAACCGTGTCCCTTTCATACTCCAGCAAGGCTTCCCTCTGCAATAGACAAGATAAGGTCCTCCTGGATAAATTCAAACAATGGTTCAATTGATTCTTGGACATAACCATTGCTATCAGTTAATATTGAAGTACAAGTGCTGGAACAAATGGCAACTGATGGAGTATGAGCTTCATCTTTGCTGGTGTTCTCTTAATCCTTCATCATGAATATTTTCAGGTTGTTGACGTTTTTTGTAATATGACTGTCGATTTCGTAAACGATATCCGTAGGTTCTTCCTTAGAACAATTTATAATACAGCGCAAAACGCACGCAAATTGCATTACAACAATTATATTCCTTGTTCTGCAAAATCAAACCGTGAAATTACCCAAAACATAATACGCAAAAAATGTTCAGATTTTTTCGTGCCGCGTTTATGCTAGTCCAATCGCTAATATTATACCTAAATACTCGACGAGTGGAAAACCGTATAACTGCGGAATTGTCTGCTTATCAAAAGATCACGGCAAAACTCAAGCGCCATTACTGGATTGCTACAAAATATCAACAATCTCGACCGCAATATAAGCCTAATGGGCTACGAAGTTTGCGACATCAAAAATGGGTGTTGATAATCGCGACAGTAATTCCGGCTCTCGGCGGTCCGGGTCCAATAGAACACCTCAAGATTACACGGTAATATTCAAACTCTCTGGCAAGATTTCGATTGCTTATTCAAAGAAAAAACGTCGACCAGTGAAATGAACCGAATCATTAATGTATTTCCAAAATTTCAGAAAACTAAGGGAGTTTGGCCAGCGTCTTGGCGATGCAACTATCCGGAAATTTCACAAACATTTAACCCGTAATCCCGGATGAAACCATAGGATTTATTAGGCCATCGGTTGATAATGAACGGAATTAAATAGAGGTAGAAGAGGAGGAAAATAGTAATAGCGCCGGACCTAGCAGGACGAGGTAGTCATCGCCTTCGGGCAAAGCTTTGGAGCTAACTTCCATTGGTGCACCAGTTCTCCCTCCCATGCGATCGTGCTAGGTCAAAGCTTTTTATCTTGTATTTACATATAATCAGAAAAATTTTGAAATAGCAATATGTTGTTATACAAGTGTCTCTCGCTATAGATATACTAAAGATTGTACTATAGTAAAAAATTTTTATAGAACAAAACCAATATTAATAAAGCGTCTAAAACCGGGGTGAGCCAATGTTTGGCCAAAAACCAACAAGTTACCCTTATGACTTATAAAATCCACCCCGATATAGTAAAAATTGTTTAAAAATGAGTAATAAACTTTCTCCTGCTCAATAGTAATAGGGGTTTATTACATGCCTAATAAATCAATTTGCTTTCTTTATTATCCTCTTAATAAATCATCCAGCTATTATTTATTTTGATATCCATTAATTATAATATAAAAATTATTAATCATACTCTTGATATAGTAAATCTCTGTCATGATGATTTTTTGTGATCTGAGTAATTACCATATTAATATTAATATGTGATATTATTATTATCACATATAATTCGTTTATAAGTTTCACATATGACCCCTTTTTATTTTATGGTATTTATGTCTTGCCAAAGGTAAGTTTTTACTGGAACAAGATTCTGCCCTAAAGTAAAGTTCCACAAAAATGGTCAAAAAGTTTTTGGATCTTTTTAGAAAAAAAAAGTTTTTGAACATGTTTAATGAACCCATTTCTCATAGTCAGGGCAAGACAATGATACCCCACAACCAGAAGAGCATGTAGATAAAGTCTCCACTGGCGCTCATAATCACAGTGTGGGACGTGATGGCTCTCTACACCCATTTCATTCATCTCCCCAAAAGATAGACGTTGAAACAACAAGTCAAGTACCTTTCCATGTAAATGGACAACTTGATCGAGATGGTTCAGGAAATGATGGAGAACAAGCAGGATTGCTCAGCCACAATCAATCTTTCGTACACCAAGAACCAGAGGGGGAAGGTAGCCAGTGGGCTAATTTCATAATCATTACCGTTCCGCATAATCCTCACTAAAACTTTTTTGACAATCTTGGAAGGTTCAATTGAAGTCCTGCCAAGAACTCTTCGGCAGTAACATTGTACTTTTCTTTAACCAATCAGCAAAACCAGTTTCTTCCGGCTTGCTTGCATTCAGGTTCTCACTTTGTCTGATTTTGTTGCAGTCTGCCAAGCAAAGTAAACCAAACTAAAAAAATAGTTTAACGTCTATATTTTACAGAAGAGCAAGTAATATAAAATTACAATATTATATCAGTTAGTTGGAAGAGGAGACAGTTGACACTGCAATTTCTTTGTAATAAAAACTCAATTGCCTGAAATGCTAGTCTACAATATTACTATAATAATATTGCCTATACTTGTGTTGAAGGTAAAGAAGATCTTAATCATGCACCTTGCCACACTGTAATAATTGCGGTCAAGCTATGAGAACAAGGTAAATTGCTTTGTAATTTAAATATTTAAAAATAAAAGCGTTGGATTCGATGTCGATTTCGAACCTAAGAAAGGTCTTAAATACGGAATTATAATTAAGAAAATATTTAATAATGTTAGTTAAAACTGTCTTCCCTAGTATACTAATACTAATACGGCATGACGCATTTCCATCAGACATATAATTATCGTTTCGTGACAATTTTTCAGTCACAACGTGGACGTTAAATTGGTTTAAAGTATTATTCGTTCTTAGAAAAATCATACAATTATTCCATTAATTTTCGTGACAAATTTCCCGTCACGGTATATATTGAAAGCTCGAATCCCATCATTAAATTAGCATGTTTGAAATGTTTGACATGCTTGATATGTTTATTGTTGAAATATTGATCTTTATTCAATAATTATTAAAAATAAACGACTTTGAAATTAAATTACTTCTTTCTTTTATTCTTTCATAGTTACAGTCATACCTCTTTTATATCCCCACTTTGGGACGAGGAGTTTTGGGGGATATAAAAGAGGTGGGATATAAATGAGGTATTCATTTAATATGCAATTTTATTGGTTAATAAATTCGTTTAATGAAGTTTGGCGTGCGTTTAGCCTTTTATATATATTTGAAAGACTATGCTCTTGCTTAAATGTCGTCTGGTTAAAGATAACTTGATCGTTTTCAGCACGGTTTGATATTTTTGCTAATTATTTTAACAACGAGGAAAAGTTGTACAGGACGTAAAAATAGAAATAGCATGACAGTTTTGTGTAATAGTGGTAATAGTATACTCTCATAATAATAATAATAGTAAATTAGAGATAGATTTGTGCAACAGTAATAGTAAATAGGGGAATATAACCGAGGTATGATAATTATACGATATGGGAATTTGGGACTGCAAAAATATCGGGAATAGGGATATATCTGAAGGGGACACTAATGAGGTAAATTTATATAGAAATACAATAGAGAAAATCCGTCCCGCTTCGCAGGTGGGATATATCTGAGGTTGGAATATTAAAGGGTGGGGATTTAAAAGAGGTATGACTGTAAAATTAATTGACCAGATATACGGCTCACATAAAAGCTGTAAGGTTTTGGCATAAACGGCTTATTAGCTGTAAAATATCCGTTGATTAATTACGTGAATAGCGGAATAATTAATATTATAAACGATTATTGTTTAATTAATTTTAAAAATAGGCAAGTGACGTTTACCCGACTAGTCAATAAACCAAATCAAAGTTTGCCCTGTTTAAATTAGTTCCCCTTCGATATGTGGTATAGTAATTGTTGTTACTATTATACCATACGTACCTTTTTTGAATACGAGTACGAGAGGTACATCGTATAGAGGTAAAGAAGCGTGCACAATAATAATTAAAATTAGGTTACTTCAATTTTAGATTCAGTCGCAAAAGCAATTACCGAAATAAGGGCGGTGACTGAACACAACTCTTTCAGTGAGATTGGTAGATTAGAGCATTCAAAACAAGGATTTAAAAAACAGTAATTAAACAGTGCCAAGGAAGAAATTAGTTGTTATTTGGAAGTCTTAGACATTAAAAGATTGGCACAATTATAATAAGCAAAAGGCAAGAGGTTAAATTTTTAAAAGTTAGCGAACTCAACACATTGAAGTTAAGGAAAATGAGAGATGGCCTTGATTCAAGGTAATATTAATTTAAAACTATGTTGTAAATATGTCATTTGTCGATTTAGTATTAGCTATATCAATCTCTCATTTATGTCACATAACAAATGTTCACTTGCCCCATTCAAGACTGACTTTAAGTATGAATTGTGAAAACAAGTAAATAGGCAGAAGCCAATTTATGATGATAATAATTGATATATTTAATTTGTCGATGCCTTCTTTATTAAACAAGTATAGCACCTTTGCATATTCGCGCGATTGCGTTAGAAAACCGAAGCCTATAGCTTTGGTCGCTCTAGTAGAATCTATTCTATACAATATTATTAATGCTATATATTTCTTTCACTATTCTTCATCAACGCATTCCTTTGGGTTTGACTGTCACTCCCATGAAAAGCTTTTTCTTCGGTAAAAGTTCTTTGTTGTAGAGACAGCTTCTCGCGGATTTGAGTGGCCCAATAAATTTTTAATAACTTCCGATTTAAGCTTTTTTTTGTAGAACAAATTGTTTCGACATCGGTGGAAATATTTATAATTTGATTTGTTTAAGTTGAAAAATAGAGAACTGTGGCGTCCGGTGGCTTTGTCTACCTGAAATATTGTGTGGCGTGATATTTGCCTTTATTGCAATCACGCCCCCCATATGGATGAAACTGTAATACAATTGTACCGCTATCCACTATTCCTCGCATCCACTCCGATTGTTCGATCTTACATAATCATCTACAACAATAACAATATATCCCCAGAGAAAGACAAAGTTCATTTGTTATTAATGAAATCGGGAATTCGAATACGGATGAGTAGATTAGTATTAATATTTGATGACGTTTCGTCTGGCCAAGCATGAGTTGATATCAGTTTTCAGGGTTCGTGTAACTAGACACAGCAGGCTTTTAACATTAAATTATAAATAGGGGGGTTTCTGTTCCCTTTAACGGCTCTCTTTCATATTAAATTGTGTTTTAGTGCGTAACTTCCATTCATGTGATCGGGATTTTTAACTTTATGATATAATAAATATGCATCTTACGATATAATAAAATATCCCCCATCTTCATCAAAACTTCCAATCCATGACACTTTCCCCGAATTTATTGAAACCTATTTATAGGATCCAACCAATCACATCAGTTATATTAAATATACGAAAAAAGAATTCCGTCCAATTATTCCTGTTTGAGATATTCCTGCGGCCATTACTTGCCCGAGTCGGCGATCATTGTTTGCACAAACCCATATTAATATCAGTGTAAACATAAAAACTCTAAAAAACCCTTCTAGCAGAAAGAAAGAAAAAACATCCCAAGAAACCAACCTGGTTTTTACGTTCAGAGGACGGGTTGGAGATAGTAACATCTTGTTGGTGATATAAAGTAAAAATAAAAAAAAGACATTTAAACACTCCTTTATATATCGCTTTACAAGTTAGTGGTTTAGTTAGAGTCCAAGGACATACAACATTCGTTTTGGTTCTCTCCTTCGAATAGAAAACCCGTTGGGGTGTTATCATTATATTTCGTTTTATTTCGTTTATCATAGAAAACTTTCTACACCGTCCTCTTCTCTGTTAGTATCCTCAAGTCAGACCAAGTCGTACTCGCAAGCGAGCGAGCTTTCTTTCTGTTCACACCATCACCCCATATCCTTATTCGCTTTTCTATTCATATCCTAGCCACTGTAACCGTTTTACTATTATACTCACAACTCACGTTCGTACTGTTCCACTCTATTTAACTTCTCTCTGTTCTCATCCTACCCTACAAATCACAAACCCCTCTCCCAACTTTTCTCATCCCACCCCACCCCACCCCTCCAAACTGTGTTAACATAAAATGAAATCACCCAAGCTAGCGCTTCAAACTGGAAAGCAGAAATTTCTGAAGATCTTTACTAAAGTCATTAACGACGACATGAAGTCAAGAAGTGTTACTCGCAGGAAAGTGTCAGCTTCTTCTCCTACTACAGAGAAGATAGTTGATAATTTATGGTGTGATGATATGGTTGTTGATGAAGGCGTTTTCTGTGAAGAAGAAATTGTGCCGAGAATTGGTAGGTGGGGTGAAGGTGTGATAAAAAAGGGGGGGAACGAAAGATTAAGCCAGATAGTCCCGAACGAATTTAGCGCTTGTAGTGCTTTGGGATAATGGCACATATGATTCGACTAGTACACTTTTCTAATTTTGACGCCCATAATTAACATGTGATTATGTTTACAAATGAAATTGTTGTTCATTATTTAGTTCGAATATAATTACGTATGCTGTATACTCACTCTTTGCCTATTCGGCTATATGTATTATAATATATCAAACGATCTCACTTTCAAATAACTTACACGTTTTTGCCTAACAAACAGACTTTCTCTCAAATCTCCCATATGAAGTCGCCTCATATATACTCATGTTCTCGGATTTCCGAGCACTATGCACTGCTTCTTTGGTCTCTAAGAACTGGTATGTTATCGCAAATGATAACGAAATCTGGCGATACATGTTCTCTCAACGTAAGACATGGAAAGTGTCTATTCCTCGCAACATTCTCCTGTCCAGATCGATAAATTGGAAAAAATTGTACATGAATCGACGCAAACTTGATAACAGATGGAAAGATGGCGATTGTACCAGTACATATCTCCGAGGTCATTCTGACAGTGTATACTGTATTCAGTTTGATGAGGAGAAAATTGTGACTGGATCGAGAGATAAAACTATCAAGTTTTGGAATATCAAAAGCGGGCAGTGCATCAAGACATTGACCGGACATTGCGCAAGTGTGTTGTGCCTTCAGTACAACGATGAGATTATGGTCACTGGGTCTAGCGATACTACAATTATAGTATGGAGTATGATAGATTATTCTATAATACGTCGACTGAGAGGCCATAGCATGGGAGTATTAGATATATGTTTTGATACCAAATATATCGTCTCCTGTTCAAAAGATCATCGCATTAAGGTCTGGGATGTCCACACTGGCGACCTTATTCGTACTTTGATTGGACATCGTGGTCCAGTTAATGCAGTACAGTTAAAGGACGATAAGATAATCTCCGCTAGTGGCGATGCTTTTATTAAACTTTGGGATGTAGAGACAGGCAGGTGTATACGAGACTTCACTGGACACACTGGTGGATTAGCGTGTGTTCAGTTTGATGGGAAATGGATAGTGAGTGGGAGTAATGATAGGTCTATCAGAGTGTGGGATGTGAACACTGGACAGTGTGTGCGAACACTGGAGGGACATAGTGGACTAGTAAGGACATTACACTTCGATGAGGATAAAATAGTTAGTGGTAGCTATGATCAGAGCGTAAAAGTGTGGGATTTGAAGACTGGAAAACAGCTGCTGGATTTCAAGAACGGACATACTAGTTGGGTTTTTGATGTACAGTTTAGCGCCACAAAAATTGTAAGGTAAGCTATTAGGCGAAGGAATGGCGAGAGTATATTATACTGGCCAAAATGTGGGGTTAATTATACGAACAATAATCGTGGAATGTACTGAAAAACGGATCTTTTGTCTTTTTCTTCTATTTTCGCAGCTCTTCTCAGGACACTCGGATAGTGATCAATGATTTTGCCGGTGACTTGGATACGAAATATTTTGTGTAATCATTGCTATTAATGGTTACTAAAATATCGATATAAATCTTTACTCCCACACCCGCATTCACTTCTTTCTCTCTGCACATATGTAGCACTCTTGTATTTAGCCACTTTGTGATATTCGGTTTAATTTTGATTATTAGGCCCGAAATAATACTAATAATAATAAACTTTTGTACCAAATGAGTTAATCGGTCGATACTGTCCAAACGGTTGCAACTACAACGTCAGCTGTTCATTTTAATTGACTGAGTACAATGGAAGAGGGCCCTCTATATGATCGTTTAGGTTGGAATACGCTCCTTGAATTATATAATTAAAATCTATTCCCAGAATTATTTTGTAGTTATTACTGCCTTCTCCAACTAATTTTTATTGCAATTCGTAAATAGCTTCATTATGTATTAGCAGTCATGACCGTGTTACGTGAAATACTGGTTTTATTTAGATCTACCTCAATTAAAACGGAATTATTATTATGGCTCAGGAAACAAAAAAGAACTATAATTCGCCATGCTAATACTAATGGATTGTAATTCTATAGCCTAATGATCAAGAATGATACTAATTAGTAAGATGAAGTTCTCACTTTTTAACTTAACCAATAGCAAGTTCAAGTAAAATTCATTATGTCACTATTACTTATTAATATGTCAACACCATGTTCTGTTTTTGTTCTTTCTTAATAATCGCCACTTCATACAATTGATCAACAAGTATCTGTTGGAAATGTAAATGCAGCTCAGTTCTCAATTACACGTAATATATTTGCGCGACACCAAAATCCCACATGCTGCGAGTGGGATGGCCATCAGATGGATCCATAGCCTCCCATCTCACCCCACCCCCCCCCCCGGGCTAGACTGAATAGCTAGCTTATATATGTAAATTATGTCTTTAAGCTTGTAATATAGTTATGTAACTTTTTAATATAGAATATATAGGTCTTATTTATTATGTAATATGCTTATTATCTTTTTGTCGCAGTGTGCACCTTTAGCGTTCAATCGTATGTGCAGGCAATAAAGAACGCAAAACTCAAAAATCCCACATGCGACACAAGATTTCAAAGCCGATGACTGGATGAAGATGTCGTGCATGCAGTCATGTTATTAAGAGACGCGACTGACGTTGTGAATATTTTGATATGTCATATATGTCGGAAGAAGAATGTTCAAAGCTAAAACACCCAAGTAAGTCTGTTACTTTACTTTCTATTTTTAACAGAACAATGAGAGAACAAACCTTTTGCTGTTTAGATTACTGGGACCGAGATCCTGGCACCTGGGGAAGCATACAAGATTGGGACCTTTACTTGCTTAAGAAATTGGATGATCAAAACAAATGAAATGCGAAACCCATTCCGAGTGATGTCTCACATGATTTGCAGTCTCAGGTTCAACAAGCGAATTCCCGAGCGTCAATTCAGTTCATCAACTACTAGTGAACGGAAACAGAATTAGCTTACAATGATTCAAGCAATGAAAAAATCTCCCCAACTTCCCTTACAAACTTCTTCAAGACTTCATTTACAGAGTCCGAAATAGATACAACCAAGACAATCGACTCGAGCATCTCTTATATTAGTAACGAACAAAAACCAAAGAACCCCAGAAAAGACATCAACCGTGATGCGACCGCTGAAGTCATAGTTCAGAAACTCCAAATCGAACTCAAGCAACTGGAATCCCTTCATGACGATAAGGTGCAAGGGTTGGAGGCCCTATGACAAGAGTTTGCAAGATTGGAGATGAGCCATCGTGAAGCGATAGAAATTGTCAAAGAACTCCGTGAAGTAATTAAACATCGTGATGCTTTGGCGCAGATGCAAGTTATGTTTGTCGTGAATGCCGAGCATCAATGTGATAGGAGAAATTCCACGACCGCCAGAAGTTGATCAATTGGAAATTGTTCAGAAACTTCGCAAAGAAGTCGAACAGCTCAAGGAAGAACAGAGAAAGACCATGGAAGTGATGTCAGAAAGGGAGAAGGACCACAAACATGACGTAATAGCCAAGCTAGAGAACGAGATATAATCTCTACCATCGAAGAAAAAGACGCGACATTGAATGGAAAGAATGACGATGAGCGAGTAGCCGAATTACAATCCAAGATGGATCTTGTACAAAAGTTGGAAAACGCTCATGCTGACGAACGCGAGGAATATATTGCCGCCGCTACTGCCCGACTTGAAGGTCTAAAACTCCAGACGACGACAAATCAGAGAATGGGGAAACGACTACGCTTCGTCTGCAGTTGGAGAAATTACAGACTGAAATCGAAGCCAAGAGCCATACTATTGCTACATTGTTGCTAGGTGATTTCTGACGTTTTCAAAGTGAGCGCGACCAATTCCTAACATATTAAGATACGTTTTCTGGCAAAGAGGCGTATTGCGATCACAATAATAAAAGTTCTCTTATTAGTGTTTTCTTTAAGACGTCGACTGGCAGTTATTTCTCCACCATTCATCGCTTTCAACTGAGCCATTAAAAATATATCTTGCTCAGATCTAGAGAGAGCTTGAAACGCCTCACGTAATTCAGCGAACCTTTTTCTCTGAATATTTTTTGAACAACCACAATTGAAACCTATCTCCAAAAAGCGCATGGCTTTTTCGTACTCGTTGGAATCGTTATAATTATAATTCTTCATATACGGGTAATCCTATATATAATTTTAATTTTAGTGCCTTATTTGGCATAAAATAGTATCTGCATTGCATAAAGGCAATAATGGGCTTGCAGATATTAACATTAGCCGCTTGACTTGTGCATGACAAATGCAACAAGTAATTTTCTAATGTAACTGTATCGGCGTGATTTGAATGATCATGATATACAGAACAGATTACATCGTACATGTTTTCTCTACAAGTTTTTTGAGTTTATTATAACTTTGAAGAACTAATAATAAATACGGCAACGTTTATATTCTTCTTGGAACGTTGAACGCATGGATTGTCTCACTCACCTTACGATCATTTGTTGATCATTGTGCAAGACTAACAACTTGCAAGCAATTATGAGACAGGAGAGAATAACAATCGTCTGATTTGGAATCGGCTGGATTATGCTACGGGCCAGAACATCTAGTATACTGATCTAGCAAACAAGACAATTGTGTCATCTCATCCTGATACCACTTTCTCTTCTTTTTTATATCAGCTCGATTGGACATTCCAAAGTCTATAATATATACGTCATCTTGATTACTAACTAAAATGTTCTCTGCTCTAATATCATCATGAAGAATACCATGCTTGTGAATTTCCCTTAATGCCTCCAAAGCATTAGCTCTCTGTTTTTTTGTAATTGCAACTACTTAACGGAATACCAGCAACAGTCAAACCAATGACAAAGCTCATCCCACCCCATAATATCCATAGCATACCAACTTTGGGATGTACTTCCCTTGAATATCAGCAAGATCATTATATGCTTTAATTTCCTTAAGCAATTCATCTAACACTTGTCGATTCTTCGCTAAATCAGCGCTTTTCAAAGCGATTGTTATTCACTTAATAGTGTTTTTCCAGTTCATCCAATACCTAATATAGCCTTAAATTGAAATCGCCGAAATTGAAAGCTTGCATTCCATTTTGTTGTTGCGTTTGCTCTACAAAAGTATTTTATACTTAATATCTATCATTATATTAACCCTATGCCATCTCCCCAAGTTGCCTACCAGGCTGTGTCAATATTATAGATGGATATCGGGAATGACAATCGTTCACGGCCTTCCAAGCCATATACGCATATGCCATGAGAACGACTGGACACTTTGATTCCAGTGAAAGAGCTTCTGATATATAAAGCTCGGATGGTGCATTCTTGGGTTTATACAGAAACCAGTGATAGTCATAGGTACTTAGAATACCGTATTGCAATTCGTTTTCGCACAGATAGTTCCATGTTGGCTGGACTGCCATCTTCGCAACGTTACCCCAAGTTAATTGAATAAAGGTACAAAAAGAAATGGAGCTGAGAAAGTTATTTTGATAATTAATTTGCCTTTGAAAACATCGTTAAAGGTTTACAGAGTGAACATTACTTAGTTGTAATTTTCTGAGTTATTTTTCTGAACAAAATAAAGAATTTGAAGGAAAAAAAATGCCGATTTAGAGAAAATTAATCAAGAGTTAAAAGAAAAACGAAAGATTAGAAGTAAGAGTAAAAAAATTGAAAAATAAGGGAAAATGGAGTGAAAAGAAGCCGAAAAAAACTTAGAAGCAAGAAAATTATAATTAAAAAAATTATAGCCCAAAGTTAGTTTGTTTACAAAGACTATGAAATACAAAGTAAAGAAGATAATTTGGAAAAAGCTTCTGAAAGAATAAAATTCGCATCTTGACAAAACTATGTGGCATATAACAATTTCAAGAATTATCGAAAAAAACTAATAAGTATAAATTTAAACTGTTTGGCAGTAAGATAAAAAGTAAATGAACCAAAGTAAGGAAATAGTTAAAGAAATTTTTAATGAAGTAACATGAAATTAGAAGATTAGGTTAGTCAATTGGGAAGAAGAGACAGTTGACACCATAAATTCTGTTCTTTTGAAAGTAATTAAAACTCAATATCAGATTTAAGAAAAAATAAACCAGTTAAACCCCTTTCAGTAGCTGAGATAATGGGGCAAAGTTATGTTAGTATTAGTATATTGGAACAGTGAAACAAGGATTTAAAACAACAATTAGACAGTGCCAAGGATGAAATTAGTTCTCATTTGGAAGCCTTAGACATTTCAAAAGACTGGCATAATAAGAATTGTTAGATAAAATTCAACGATTAAAGTGAAGTTGAGTTTTTAAAAAAACAACCAGCTCAACACATTACAATTACTAAAAAAAAGCCTGATTAAAGTAAAAAAATAATTTAAATTTCATAATAATAAGTAATTTTTCTTAATCTTGGAGAGTTTGGGTATCATTGATTTAAAATGTAATTTTTTTATTTTGAGCTTTTTTAAAATATTTCTAATGGTGCTGTAATTCTTGCGTTTTATGATAGACTAATTTTGTATTAGTATTTTTTATATAGAGATTAATTCTGTTATGGTTTATATTCATCACATCTTAATCTGGTATAATAAAGTAAACGTTAAATTTAACAAGTCCATAAGTTATTATTATTAATGTTATCAGTCACACTGGTCAATTTACAGCCACATCATAATCAGCCTCTCTTTTATGTCACATAATAAAATGTTCACTTTGTCTGGTCTGCCCCATATAGCGCAAGTATGATCAAAATGTATAAATTAAAATCGTATTAATACAATATGTAATATCGATTGATTCTTCGAACAAATCAATATTTCACATGTTCTACTGGAAAAGTCTTACACTTTTGGCATACACATAGTTACAGCTGTATCGCTTTGGCTTTGTTGTGTCGATGTTTCCATGAAATGTCGATATATTACTTGACCGTAACACAGACAAAAACTAAAAGACATTTTCAGTAATGATGTGCGCTTAACAGAAGTCCGACAAGATCTACCGACGCCGAAATACTTAGCATGCAAACTTTCAATTGTTCTTTATGACAATGAAGCGCATAAAAAAGGCTAAACTGTTTTACTGCATCGGGATAATTGTATTTGCATACAAAGAAAGGCAAAGTGATTCGTTGTTGGGAAGATTTTTTTTTTTCACTCAAACACATGTTTTTATTGGATATCATTCAAACCATCGTTAAAAAAAAAGACAATGACGGTTGTATCCCACAAACCCTCAGTTTACAAAGCCCATCGTCAGTGCAGAGATAAAATAAAATATGTGCGACGTAATCGTTGAGGGAAAAGATAGAAACGTTTAATGATTGTTATACAAATAAATTGCTGTTTGAATGCTAACAAAAGGAGAAAAACAAACGTCAAAGAATTAGAGAATTGAACCAAATTGTGGTGGCGCATTTCACCATTTTGGTAAAATGGCTGTATGGCTGTACTGCTTCGTAATCACGCTTACGATATGATGGCGGTACGAAACCAACCTTTTATGGCAATCAAGATGGAACCTAATGTTTATATTGTTTATTCACGTGCCGCTGGATTGTAGTGTGATGTTTAATGACTATAATCTATTGGTCCCTGATCATTTGATGTTCTTTACGTTATCGTTAATAAACGAAGTTAATAAGCCTTATTATTATCGTTATCCTAATATTATAATTAATCAATTAGCATTTAATAGAACAATAAGTATTTATAGTTAATAATTTGTTAAGTTTGTAACCGCATAAACTTTTCATCAAAAACTCTCAATACACAACATTCATCTCTCTTCACATCCCCCCTGTCGGTTTAAAAATAACTATATAAATCCAAACAATTGTGCTCTTCCGTATTACTTTCGACACACACTCTCTTTCACCCCTCCCTTTCCATATTATTCTTACTCCGTTTACACTTACGCCCCCAGCCATAAATACGCACGCAAGAACTAGCCCGCTATTCCAAACCCACATCTAAAGCAATACGGGATAGCACTAAAGCACTTCTCAAAACATAATCAAGTGAACGAACTGCCTTTCCTCAACGTCAAAACCTACAAATAATAGTGATGAGCGACAACTCACCATGCTTCCCGTTAGCAAGAGCTAACTTCCTTCAGCCGAACCCTTACCCCTGTCACACGACTCCGATATGGCCTACAAAAATGACAGAAGGGAACTTGCCACAAGTCGCTCAGAGAGCTGCCATGAGGACGTCGTCCACTGTGAATTCTGTTGACAAAGGTATGAGAGAGAGAGAGGAGAGGGAAATAGGAAACAGTCTCTAATGTCTAGAGTAAGATACGCAAGGCAAGAAGACTAAATGAAACTTCATTAAAAAAAGAGAGGAGAGAGAGAGGCCACTCTTATAAACATTAATGGTTAGTATATAATAACCTCTTGGTTTCCTTCCTGTTCCGCAGTCACAGGCACAAAGCGAAAGAACATGGACGACGATGAATTCATGACTGATTCACGTAGTCCTCCAGAATCACCCCGGCAGCATGATGTCGATCGAGTGAACTCGATGAAAAGAATCAGAACCGGCAAAGATAGGGAATTTCCAATGAACAGGTTATTGGGTGAGTGATCAAGAGATGTGAATACGCAAACGTGGAGAGAATTAGAGAAAGTGACGGCACGTACAGGAAGGGGATGAGTGATTTTCACAGATTTCGAGTTATTGGTTTTCAATTTATTAATGACAGCTTGGTGTTTTACAGCAACACTTGACAAATCACAAATACTAGCAGTTATATATAATCTACTCGATGCGCATCCAAATCTGCAATCCGAAGTTGCGTCTTTCATCCCACCCCCCACGGTTTCGTCGGCCGAATCAGCACTCAAACAGCTCGAAAAGCGTCTATGCGAAAGCTTTCCGTATACTCGTTGGGGTCCATCAAAAGACGACTACAGTTTCAATAGAATAAGACCGCATTTGTTGGAGTTGAAGGAAGTCATATTGGATTACGCGGCGCACTTTGCATCGCCTAATGAGTTTCCCACTAATACATTCTCATATTTGAACTTGGCGATTGGATTTGTGCATAGACTACCGTCGTGGGACAATGAAAAGAACAATGAGATGAAGAAAGAGTTATATGAGAAATTGGGAGCTTATTGGAGGAAATGCATTGCAAATGCGGCGAGTAAATTAGATGAAGGGAAATTTTATACACAGGCTGTCGTTGAAGAATGGGCGAAAAAGTGAGTATGCTTATTGTTGACTGTGACGATAACTATGGCCGAGGGAAAGATGGCCAGTTCCAAGTGTAAAAAGGATATGTCTTTACAACCCCCTTGCAATCTCCAAGAATCACGTTACTGACCAAGACTCTTCTTCTATATTGTTTCAATAGTCTTGCCCAACATAATCACGACTCTAACGGAGCTCTGAATCAGGCGGTCAATGATTTCGTTCAGAAGCTTGGCTGGATTATTGGCAATAATAAGTTACCTTCTTCTTCCTTTGCACCTTCACCCTTACCATCTTTTTCATTTACACACTCGGTTTCTTAAGATAATATGCTAATTAGTATATAATGAGTCGGCTATATAGAGGTAAAAATTAAAGCCAGCTGGGTGATGATATTATGAATGTATATTATTGTTGTTTATATGGTTTCTATACTCTTTTTTGGAGGGTGATTTAGACTAGGATGGACTTGATTAATCGGATTTGTATGACTTGAATATATGGGATTATAAAGCATCGAACGGTGCTGATAGTATAATTGAAAAGTAAACGATATAATAACAAGAGTACAACCTAAAGGATTCGGATATGCCGAGAACGATAGCGGCTGTACAACGAATGCCCTTCCCACATAAACGGATGTAAGGGTTACTCTTACTATTACCAAGTTACTAACGCTATCTCATTTGTCGTGACTATATTGTCATAATACCGCATGCATCATTTATAATACAAGGATTGTAGAAAGGCGAGAAGAACGATTGCATTGATGGTGTGATGTTTTTTGCAAAAGCACCGATATTTGAACGTTTATTCGAATGCCTATAGTCATCGAGTAAAAATATTCGTTCGAGTCTGATGCTGACTTTCGACGTCTTGTCAGGTGCATAATAATACATTCTATATTTCGGGAACGTATTAAGAATTACGCACTGCCGAGATAACTAAATTATTATTTTACCGCATATGTAATACTCACCAATGCAATGTATGAGAATAAAATGCATGTACTAGATGTTTGGGTACCTGACAGACTCTTGGTCTTGGTTTACTTCAGTTAAAGTAGATTCTGTCTTTTAACAGAAATGTCTACGTATTGATTATCAAAAAACAAAACCGATTAAGGCTGTCGCTATTTTAAGAATCTCACCTTGGATTAAGCGGCTGATAATAATATTGACGCGACCTGTATATTGCGCACAAAAAAATTATTAAGATCCTCTCCATGTGCGA